CCCCCTGCAGTACCCTCGCGGCCCACCAGGGGGCCGCGGACCCCACTTTGGGAGACACTGCTCTATTGCAATTAGCTGAAGATGAGCCTATTCGTGCTGTCCGATCGTGGAAAGAAGATCTTTTGGATCCATCAATGGCTAATTGGCAAACTATTTGGCTGAATATGCAACTGTCCTCAAGAAATCCTAATCATCGGGTCATTCATTTTAACTTTATACACAGGACATATTTCACTCCAAGTACTTTATTCAAGATGAAGGCACTTGCCTCTCCTAACTGTACACTTTGCAATCACAATACACTAGGGACCTTTCTCCATATGGTTTGGGATTGCCCAGAGGTTAAAAATTTCTGGATATCTGTCTGTAAACTATTATCCGATTTGTTATTGAAGGATATCCCCTGCACTCCTGAAGTTTTACTTCTCAATGACAGCTCCACTCTCGGTTTTAATATAATGGAAAAACGTGTATGGTTGGCTGGTCTTACAGCAGCTAAGCGTATACTTGCTTGCAGATGGAAGACACCACAGTTTGTCAACACGAGAAAGTGGCTTAGAGACTTCGTTGATATTGTAAAACTAGAACAATGGGTCTCACAAATGCATCATGCAAAACCAACTAACATACAATACTGGGACAAAGTACTTTCCACCATTATCCAAGCACTGAGTAAATTGGTGTAGGGCTTCTCATGGCAGAAGGAATAACTTATTGCTACCTGGATATCGACGACTAACATACTGCATAAGGTCGGGGCCGGGGTGGTTGGGGGGTTTTGGGGGGGGGCGGAGGGTTCGGGTCCTAGGGGGCGGGTGGTAGGGGGTGGGGGATGAGGTTTGCCTTGCTCCCTTTTGTTTCTCTCTGTTGTCATTGTTTTACACACTAATTTAATCTCCTTCCCAGTACTGTTTTATTAAATTGTACGTATTCAAGCTACTAAAAGCTTCAATAGGTGGTATTCTAATACTTCCTGGAAAATGTATGGTTATTTTATATTATTTATTATTTTATTATTATTATTACTTTTCAATTATTATTTCAATTTGTTTTTATTTTGTTTTTATTTGTTTGTATTTTTTGTTTTGTAATTTTTTTTTTTGTTTTGTGTTTTTTGATGGTTTTTTTTTGGGTGTGTGAGCTGTACTCATCCCTGCACTCTCCTTGAAAATAATAATAAAAAATTGATCACAAAAAAAACGGCCCGGGCATTTTTTCCTTTTTAGCAGCCCAGGCAACTCAAAAGTTTCATGGAGCCATATTTGACAAAAAAAAAAAAACAGCGTTGTATAAAGCCTAGTTTATACTTGCGCGGCGCGGAGCTTCGGAGGTGACGTGACGTCACTTGCACAACGCGTTGGTCACCGCAAGGCCCTTACGTCGCCTGCCGCGCAGCATCGAAATTTTCTAACTACGTAAGGGTCGCCGCAAGGAATCTCCGCTGTGATTGGTCCGTGTGTGTGTATTGGAAGGAAGCATGGAGCGGCTGCAGCAGGAGCATGGACGCAGTGTTGCCAACTTAGCGACTTTGTCGCTAGATTTAGCGACTTTTCAGACCCCTATAGCGACTTTTTTTCAAAAAAGCGACTAGCGACAAATCTAGCGACTTTTTCTGGTGTTATTGGCGACTTATCTGGTGTTTTGGCGACTTATCTGGTGTTTTGGAGACTCGTGAAGCACGTATTGTTCTGCTGTCCTCAACGTGAGCCCCTCCCCCGTCCCAAAGCACTTACAGGCGGCCAGTCTCACAGTAGCCTTGCGCAGCAGTCCCAGCTACAGTCTATGGGCGGAGCAGAGAGAGAGAGAGGAGACTCAAAAGCACAGGAAGTTTTCAGGCTGCTGCAGACTGAACTTCAGCTCCACCACCACCACACATCCAAAGCTCCCCGGCCACTCCTACCACCGCCACCCCCCACTACCCCCCACTCCATCCGCGGCAGCTCTGTCCGTGACTCTGTTTTCTCTCAGTAGTGGGTCACATTAAATCATTTGTTATGCCAAACTATGAAAAAAAAAAAAAACTTACAAAAATAAACCTAAGTAACTCTGCCAGAGTGTGTCTTTTGGGTCACTTTGCTGGTCCCAAGCCCGGATAAAGGAGGAGGGTTGGTTGTAGAGCTAGCAATTTCACCCTACATAACAATCTTTTGATTACATTTGCTGTTATAACATTTAACAATACAGGACAAAACTGATGTGTGTAATGTGGATCTAGACAAAGCATTAAAATCATTAAATGTTGTTAATGTTGAAATTATTTTTGTACATTTGTAGTTCTAAACATATTTAGGGTGTTTTTACTCACTTTTGTCTCTCCCACGACCTTATTCCTCTCTCCTACAGCGTCCGTTACAGTTATTTGCAAATGGCAAATTATGCAAATTAGGCGATGACGTCATTTAGCGACTTCTAGCGACTTTTGGGACAGCCAATAGCTACTTTCCTTACTGAGGAGTTGGCAACACTGCATGGACGAGGCACTATAGAGCAGAGAGCTTTGTGCTTCGAAGGAAAAGTAGTTTGGGCTCAGAGCCTGATATACAGGAGACTGTGAACTATCTAACATATATATAACTTATATCTAACATATATATAACTTATATCTAACATATATATAACTTATAAACTGTGCAGTCGTTTGTTTTGCACTGTTCCTGTCTTTGTTTGAATCGTAGCTGCGTTTGTTGCTTTCCTCCTGCACTCGTAAATCGTTCATGTTTGTCTCAGATATTTACCACTATTATTGTTTTGCTGTTTGTGCTGAAAACTATTTAATAATAACTGTTTCCAACAAGAACTGTGTCTTTATTCACAGCATCACAGTTGAAATGACTTATAAAATAATGAATCCATAAAACTATCACATAAACCTACAGTAGAAACACGTGTAATGAGCTCAAACAGCTTTGTTTGTTATTGTTGTTCTGAAGAGGACAAAGTAGCAGCGTAAATGGGGCCGCTCCTGTGTGATCGCCCTCATGTGGTTTGTTGTGGGATTACAATATTCTCCTCAAAACTCCGTAAGGGGAACGCGCCAGTATAACATCAATTGTGCTTACGTAGGTCCACCGCAACCGCTAACGTAAGCCTCGCCGCGCAAGTATACACTAGGCTTAAGGCTTATATGAAGGTAACAGGGGCTGAAGCTGTATTAGCTACATTAGCTACCTTAGTTACATTAGCTATATTAGCTATATTAGACTATTATCTAAATGACAAAGTAAAGGCTACAAACACATAAAAACCATTCATGATTATCAAATGTGTATTTTCATTGCAGCGTGTCCTGGAGAGAATGATGCACCACGTGACAACTCTGCTTTAAGTTTAACTTCCATTTTTTTTGCCTTCATGCAATTGTACAAATACAGTAAATAAATCTGCTTTTTGGCTCAGTTCACCTGCATCACTGTCTGTTCATATCCATCACAGGCTGAAGTTTGCTGGAGCTGAATGTCCTTAATGGCCTTTTCTTTCACCGTCTTTGCGAAGGTATTTGAAGTCTGAAAATAGGTGCTCTGACTTTATGATGAATGAATCTTTCAGTGAACTGTGTTTAAAGCTTCATTGTTCCTCCTGTTGCAACAAAACTTTTCATTACATCGCAAACATGAAGCAGTCCTTCCTCATTGACTGAAAGCAAAAGTTCATTCTCATTCTTAGTCCAGTCTTATCGACTCTCTCTCTTTATCTTTGGGATCCATGCGCACACACAGTCTATGATGCGCACACGCCGGTTTGTTTACAGCAGCGGACGCCTGGCACGGGGCCGCGTCACAGGATATGACGCACTACGTTGACAGAAATGCTAAAATTGAATATTACTTATACAAGTTTTTGCAGCATTGAAAAACGTTAAGAAGGTTTTTCCTCCTACAGAAACCACATTCAAACTAGAAATAAAATATAGCCCTCACACTCCATTTTCAGACATTTTTGAAAAGTCTCCAGGAGCCACTTTAGGGGCACTAAAGGTTGCCGACCCCTGGTTTATACAGTATGTGGAAGCAAATACTGTAGAGGATCAGGATGTCTGCAGTTTCAACAATAAAATAAAGTACAATAGTCTACATTAAACAGAGTAATAAACATGTCTCAGAGTGAGGGAGGTGGACACAGACAACACTATTGTTTGTTACAGGGATGAGAATTGGTCAAAAAAATTCTGAAATGCATATTATCAGCCATTGGCTGGCTCTAAATCTGTTTAATCTGTTCACAACATTTTACTTTTGGGCTCAAACATGAACTTTTAATGCAATGGAAAATTTAGGTACCCGAGCTTTAATTTAGAGGAGAGGGGAGACGCGGACTGTTTCCTGCAGCAGTGTATTTATTGGGTGGAAAAATTACGAAAAGACATGCATGGTCCTGTGCGCGTTTATGGTCTTGGGTACATGGTCACGTTGCGGCTACGCGCTCACCGTGTTGTGTTGTGAGCGGTTCCCGGTGAGCGGTTCCTGCGTCCAGCTCAGAGCCGCTGGATGTGGGAACACTGCGGCCGCTGAGGTGGTGGAATCCCGTTCAAGTACATACAGCAGGTGCCCTGCGGACACGCGCTCCCCTCAAACATTTCTCAGCGGATTTACACTTTTCACAAACATGTGTTTTGTATGAGACAGACAGACCGGCCCAAATATGGGCATCGGCCCTTCGGGCATTGCCCGGTACGCCCGATGGCCAGTCCAGCCTTGCTTTAAGATTTCATTGGAGCTCAACTATTGGCAAACAATGACGCCTGTTAGGTTTCCGAAGGCACATTTCGAAGTAGCAAGAAGCAAAACTAAGATGATGTATTACCAAAGAAACTAATATTGGTATTTATGACTCTAAACTTGACCACATGCTAGATATTAATGACTAGAGCTACTGTAACTGTACAAACAACACAGAAAACGTTGGTCGAACAGTGCCGCGATTCATTGGCAGTCCACTTTAATCTGAATTTTCCAGTGGGCTCCATCAACGACACGGCATACCTCTCACACAAAGACCCCGCTATGGTCAGCACGAGCACGGAGCCCACAGGTGTCCAACCCAAACACATCAGCACGACATCTCCTTCAGATTCCTCCAGCTCAAAAGGGCGTGTGTTTGAAGCCAGAGCTGAAGCCGTGTGCACGAAACCAGCCGCACTGAACGGTCCGATGGCAGCTGTCGACCATCTTAAGCAGGCCGCGGCTGCTGTCCAGGTCTCCAGGGACTTAGCGTCTTTAGGTGGACATTCTGACCACACAGATGCAGAACGATGGACCACCAGCGAGTTTAACAAGAGGATTTGGTGTCCAGAGAAGGTTTGGTTTTATCACCTTTAGCAAAAAACAAGCCACAGCAATATTAGCATGATATTATGATTCCATGTTCAAAACCTTTTATTTTATTCATCAAGTCTCAACTATACCACAATACAATTCAAATGTGCTTCTATGGACAAAACAGTCTTGGTAATACTTAAGAGGAAGTGAGGCCAACATGAATGTAACCCTGACCCCTGCCCAAGCGCCTGATTAGTGGTTGATGAGACCGATGAAGCTGTATTTTTTGCAACCAGTGTCCAGAGTGTGCGTGAGAGCGAACGTGATATAACTTTATTCACATGACACAACACTCAGTCAAAAGGCATTACAAAAGACAGATAAGGCTACGCCATAGATACATGCGGTAACCGAATAAGTCTATGGCCCGAGGCTTAATTCCAGTTTACTGTATCCATTATATATCATTTGGTCAGACCGAAGCATGGACAGTACCCACCAGATTACTGAGACAGTCAACAAAATGGCAACTGAATGACCAGAAATGGGCCTGCGCAATTTCAGATCCAACATACATCGTCTTAAAGGTCAAAGTCTGACTTTTAATGAACTGAAAAAAATTGTGATTTTCAGTTGGTTTTTTGATGACATAATACATCAGAAAACCCCCTCTAGTAACGGGCCACATAATCTCAATTTTCTACTTTGTTCTAATGCCCAAATGGGAGACAGGACCTCTGACATGAGACATCTGTCATGGAGGTTGAACAATTCACCACAAATATCCCGGAAAGAGTTTCAAAGGGAGTAGCAGTGAGAAAAGACGAGTCCAAGGCCACGCTGACCTGCGTCCACACACAATGGTACGCGCTAACAGCGGACGACACTGGTGGGATGCTCGTTCGCTCCGACACGCTGCCTAAAAGGAAGCAACAAAAGGACAAACTTCCTCTGCCCCCGGACCACGGGCGTTGGGACCACTGTCAGACACAACACGGGGCATTTTCTATCCGTCGCCACTTCATCACTGAGATAAAGACAGGAAAAGGACTCCCGAATCAACAGCGCTACACCTGCCCACGGCTCCATTGTGTAGAAAGTGAATGTGTGTCCTCCTCTACTGGGAGAGGCGACCGTGGACGTCAGAGGGCAAACGCAGATAAGCACGAGGCTGGACCAACGCTATCTGCGAAAAGAGGAATGACTGGAATGAAGCTGGAAAATAAGTTAGGCAATGTATAACAAGAGCTATCAATGGACAAGGTGAAAGTGAAAAGCATAAAAAGAGAAGAGATTGTGTCCTGACAACATTTTATTTATTCAAGACTTTTGTGGCGTCAATAAACACGGATAAAAATGACAGAAAGGCGATAGCTGGGAGAGTTCTCAAACCTCAGACTGAAAGCATGAAATAAAATACCATAATCCATAAATATAACAAAAAATGGCCTGTTGACTGGATCAAATTAAAGTAAGTAATCTTTTTTGATTTTGTTACCATAAAAATATTTGAGAGAAATAAATATTAAAAAGTTCTACATAATAAACTACAAAACTATTTTTTTTTACCTGCAAATTTAAACCTGGCACCATTCTATGCACACAAATTGCAAACAAAGTTAAAATCCAACATCTCTCTTCTATAAATCCAAATATGGTTGAAGGCTTGCTCACAATTTGCTCGTGAATGTTTTTATGATTAGAAAGAGTGTGCTTTTCCATTTTACTCAGTTGATTACAGGCCCCATATCTATAAACCACAAGCCTTTATTCGAGCCCCCGAGATGTTTATCCAATGCAGTGAGGAGAAAGTCTTTTTAAACAACTCAAACCGCATGGCATCGCAATCTCCATGGACACTCGTAAATATTTTCATTAATACTAGACTCCAGTTCTGAGTTCATCTCCCAATTAGAGTGGCTCTAGTAAACTTTGCATATGAACGATGGGATATTTTACGACGGAAATGTATAATAACAGTGTAAATTAGTGGTACCATATGGGGTTTTGGGCCGAGCTCTTCATTGTGACAGGAGAAAGGGAAGGATGGAGCGAACAGTGCAACACAAACAGGAAGCCCCTTCATATGGCAGATGGCCGGGATCCACTCTTTAGATGCTCATTGAGACTTTGATGTTGGCACAGGTGTGAAATATTGTTATCCCTCCTCAAAATGTCCCGATATGGCCTTGGCCTACTACAAGAAACAAGAATGTATGTTCCATCTGCAGTGAAACCATATTGGAAAAACTGGACAACTAGATGTTTATTTAATTGCACATATTTTGGACATTTGAAGTTGTAACACATATTCTCCACATTTAATTGCTTCCCCAAGAGATATGGTTCTATGTGCTTGCATGGGAGTTCTGAGATATTGAGACTTTAAAGTTTTTTCCTCCATTGAAACGTGCAGATAGAACCATCTGTTTAAATTCAGTCCGTAAGCAAAGGATGAATAGTCAAATGTTGCCAAAGATCTACTACTAAAACTTAACTAAATAATTCTAAGAGGATGTTTGGTATCTATATATTTGACATACATACTCTGAATAAAAAGGTGACATTTTGAAAAGTAGCGAACAATAAGTTTGGATCAGGATTCACAAACCCGCCATATTATTCTAATTTTTAGTCTGGGAGTCCTTTCTACAGGCTAACATTACATTTTGTCACCACTTCTATACACCTTTAAGAGATAATAATTAGACCATAGTTGGTATGTACAGACAAGGATGTGAACCCTTTTTCAGCGAACATTTCCTTCAGTTTTAAACTCTAGAATCACTGGGCATTGTAATGTCCAATTAAAAAACATAATGTCAATGGCAAAAGCTGGGAATTAAAAGTGAAGCTGAAATCCAACCTGCTTTTCTAAACCTACCAAATGAATAGTCAAATGTAGTTCCCTGCTGGTAGAGTGCATTAATATTTGTTTGACATGCGAAACGCAAGAATAACACATTTTTCTTCCACAGTTATAAAAGAAGAGCTCACAGCATGTTCTCGGCTTTATTCTGGCTCCAAATATCCATTTCAACCAAATCCTACTGCGCCATGACAGATTTTTCACATGCACGTCTCAAAAGAAGCAGAAAATATGTCTTTAGAAATTTTTTTTTAAAAACTGCGTAAAGAAATATGCCAAATCTCCACTTCCCCCACGTACATTAAGCCCGACTTTGTAGCATCTGCGCGTCAAATGTGATTATAGCATCACAGAAGTCTGGCTTTAAACACACGGGAGGTTCACGCAGAGGACATAACCCAGAATTGGGAAAAATCGCTGTGCTGGTTTGGTTTAGGAGAGGGGTGAACTGGAGTGTGATCATGAAGAATAGATGGAAATATCATTATTGAAAGTGAAAAAAGTGAAAAAAGTCATATCATGCCAATTGTGCGATATTTCAAAGCATTTTGGTTTGACTCAAACCAAATCATAAGTATTGGCTCATGTATGCATGATCCAGGGTATTAGAATAGTACATTTACAAAAACACCAGCTTCCCAAAGTGCTTCACGTGGAAAAAAGATAAAAATAAAAATAAAAGCAGTATGAAATGCACACTAATAAAACTCAGTAGACCACAGAAACAAGCATTCAAGCTGGATTTAAAAATGTCAAACGTTTGCATCCAAAAAGATAATTGAAAGAAGTGTTGACATCCAGTAATATATTGCTAAACCTACAAAAGAAACAACATAGGCAGTCATTCAATTACAATAACAAATAAAAATAAAAAAACAGGCACGGGGAGAGAAATACTATTGTTGTCTTGATATCATTTCTTAACAAGTATAACATTAAAAGATTGTTTATATAAAAGTTACATTGTTTTTTTTTTTTTCGTTTCCACCTCTCCTGTTGGTCTTATGCCGATCAATAGGCACTGTAATGAGTACTATTAGAGTATGGTATCAGGAAGACACTAACGTCAACAACAACACTGCAGAAAATATATCTGTGGTTTCATGTCAAAATAAGGATGAGAGAAAGAGGAAAGTCGTTGGCCATAATTAAAAGCAGACACAATAAGAGGGGCAGTATAATGGCCTGGCCTGTTTGGTAATTATGCAGAGTTATTATAAGAATGGTGGATGAGATGTGGTAATGTGCTGGGACTCTTGCTTGTAATGAACAAAAGGAGAGTTCGGTTACAGAGGCCAGAGTTGGGTTTCTGACGCTCGGCTCAGATGCACTGCAATCTTTTAGCGTGTGATTAATGAGGGAACGCACACTCAAAAATAAACTGCACATAATCTAAAAAACAGGGCAAAGACTTGTTATAAAACACATGGGTTCATATCTTTGAACAATCTTAAGTCACAGCTAAAGACATTGTGTTGAATGAGATGCAAGACCCATTCTGTCTCATTTATATATCCATAGGTGAAATAAAGAAAAGTAATTCACAAAAAACATCATTGTAAGTGGGTATAAAAATATTGTCTACTGCAAAATGCCAATAAACCAGAATCAGAGAATTGATTCATTATAACATCAAAACCAATGAAACACCAATTATTAGATGGTCATTGGTGGGAATAAATGCGAGCATACTAACCGGACACTCTTGTTGTATACAGCAAGGCGTTCCAGTTCCTGCCAATATTCAGCAACTCTGCACAGCCATTGTCAAATATGGAAAAGTCTAGAAAAGTGCAGTTAAAAAAAAAAAAAAGAAAAGCTAAACCTATGGCGGGCAAACACTAGTCACTAAATTATCTGTAAATTGTGAATGAAGTGGAAAATCAAGCCCTTTTTCTTGATGTCATAAAATCTCAAGTCAATAGCTTCCTATATAAATCTGTTTCCATACCAACCCTCTTCTCACGGGGAGAGCCAAGGTTATACAGCCTTTGAAAAACACACCCTGGCGGATTTACAGCAAACAAGCCATGCATTATTATACCACCTCTACCATACTACTGCTTACACTACTGCTGCTACTACTGCTGCTACTACTGCTGCTACTACTGCTGCTACTACTGCTGCTGCTGCTACGCCATGTTGACTTTTGGGATCCTCCGTGTTACTGAGCAAAGACACCATTATATTTCCTCTGCTCAAGTCAAGCTATTTTACTTTAATCAATGCACTCCTCTACCGTCTAGCTTATCAGTAACAACATTGATTTGAACAGCTCTAAACGAGAATACCAAGATGCCCGTCTATGGAGTAAGTATAGATCATAACAAAAAAATATATATAATTACAACAAACAGAAGGGACCGCAAGACGCCGGATTGAATACAAAGCAGGTATATTCTTTCAAATATGTATAACACACAATAAACATTCTTTGTCTAATGTGAATATTGAACCTCAATTACAGCACTTAATATACACTTTTCTGCATGTTTATTATGAGCAAGGGAAATTTACTACTAGGGTATTATAAAAGCCTGTTTTAGCACAAATCCAATAAAAATAATACAAATTATGGACATTTCTCCGTTCAAACACCTATCGCTGGTATCACGCAGATGGAGGCTTCCCAAAAGAAGTGACCAAATGTAAAGCATACGTCTTTGTTTAGATGAGATGAGAGAGAGAGTGATATAATCTCTGCATATATGACCACTGAAAAAAAATGGAAATCTGTTCAGAGACACATTGCAGCGGAAGAGAATTTGAGTGCAGACGGTTGAAAAGAGGAGCATTCAAAAGCCTGAAGGAGCCGCGGTTGTAGTGAAGGATTCGGTTCCTGTCCAAAACTATGAGAAAAGACTCAAAGAGAAGGAGAACCGCTTTTGGGAGATTCACAGAGTGCCGGAGCCAGGGAAAAGCCACTCTCTGCTCTTGTGGTGTTTTGGCTGCGAGTGAGAAGAGACATGGTTAGCTCCGAGGTGGTTTCAATGGTGATGCCTCAGTGAACTTTGTTAGGGTTAGAACAAAAATCCAAAAGGGGGCAGGGGAGGGGGGGGAAGGGGAGACACAGAAAAGGTAATGGGGTCAGGATTTGGTCATTAAGTAAATATGTCATCTTTATTTATGTAGCATTTTCCACAGATAGACTCACAAAACGCTTTACAATTATGGTCGACATTTTCTCTCACTCCACAGGAGATAGAAGCGAGGTCGCCATACAGGAGGCGCAAGCTAGACTTTTTGTACACAATTTTAGTGGTGGCAACCGGAGCACCCTGAGGAAACTGGACACAGGGAGAACACGCAAACTCCACACAGAAAGGCATCTCAGATAAAGGCAAATATTTGAACCCATAGCTTAAGGCCCTAG